GGTTTTTCTTAAACATTAATAAATGGATTGATTAAATTTTCTTTGAGCTAACGCACACGCACACACACACACGCCCCCCCCCGCACACACGCCCCCCGCACGGATCAAATCAAATACGAAGTTTTACATTTAGGTAAAATTAAATTTCGACTGTATAATTATTATCGTGGCAGAAGATTAAAAAAAGGAATTAATTGAAGGTTAAGAAAAGATTGAAAAGGTTTTTTTTTTTCGTTGGGGGGAGTAGGAGGAGGAGAAGGGGGAGGGAAAGGGATCGGAAAATTATTTAGAATTTATAAAAGTATCGATTTTACAATTTTTTTAACCGAAAAATTCGATATTTAAATTTTTTAAGAACGAGAAAAAATTAATATAATTTAAATAGTAGTATGTTCATTTATTAAAATAATAATAATATTAATAATAATTATAATAATAATAATAATAATAATAATAATGATAATAACGATGATAAAAATTTAAATTTTTGAAACGATGGAAAAATCTTAACCTTGTTTAACCTTTCAAAATTTTTTTCATGTAAAACAAATCAAACTTCGAACACGATAAAAAAAATTTCTTTTTTTTTTTTTTCTTCCAACCAACAGCCCGAATATTTTTCAGGGGGGAGGAGGGGAAAAGATAAAAAGAAGGTTTTTTTCTAAGGGGGGAAAAAGGAGGGAGGAGAATCGGGCGATGATAATCTCATACCTCCCCCGATTTTCTCCGCTTAAAATCCTTTTCTATACCATCGACGACGACATTTTTGTTGGCATTTAAAAAAAGAAAATTTTTTTTTTCTATATATATATATATATAAAACATCCTTTTCCCCTCTCTCTCTCCCTCTCTCCTTCCCCCCAACCCCCAAGAAAGTTATATACATATATTACAATGTAACAACAGTTTTTATCACGGAGGCCCTACAGCCATAAATTTTTTTTTTTTTTTTTTTGGAAAAAGAAAATGTATTTCGATTTATTATTGATTAAATAATTTTAAATTTGTTTTTCTTTTTTTTTTTAAATTAATGATAAGATAAAAAGGGGGGGGGGTTATCAGTCGAGGTGATAAGAAAAAATTTCGTGCATACAAAAAATGTTTAACAGGCGCCATCATGTTTTTTTTTTTGCCCCCTATTTAATAATATTTCCCTTAAGAAGTATAAAATAAATTTTTTGTGTTTTTTACTCTATGAAATGAAATGCTTTGATATTACAAGGCGGTGGATTTTAAATTTTTTAATACCAAAAAAAAAAAAAAAAAAGATTGTTTTCATTTATTTTTCACGAACGTTATTTTTAAATAAGATTTCACTAAAAAATTTCTTTTTTTTTAATAAAATATTTTCGTCTGCTGTTTCTTTTTTTTTTTTTTAGATGTAAAATTCGGAATAAAAATATTATTTGTCTTTATATTAATAAAAAAACGATTCGTTAATTATTTTTTTAAATAAAAATATGATAAAAAAAAAAATATAAAACCGTTACTACTACATGATTGTGTGATATATTCTTACGAATGGGTCTAGGTAATAGGATTTGTGCAACAAAAAAAAAAACCAGAAAATATGGGGGGAATGGGATTTTTTTTTTTTTTGCAAAGGTGCAACATTTTCGTCGATCTTTTCTGGTTTTATTACTCTTGCGTAACAACTGTGAATTTTCTCACTATTGATTGCGCTCTTTTGAGTTTGCGCTCTTTTGCAAAGACGTAATAAAACTTTAGAAAATTTACTTTTCCTAAAGGTTTTCACTTAAATTTCCGCGCACGTTTTTTAAAATACACGCCTGACATCTATCAGCAAAACTAAGAATTAAATATCTATTTTTAAAAAATTTTTTTTTCCTTTCGTTGTTTTTTTTTTTTTTATGGATGCTTGAATTTTACTTTTTTTTTTTTTAAAATATGAAGAAAAATTAATATAATGCTTTTTTTTATTACTCCATTGACGAAAATAATTCAAATATTTCATTTCATTTTAAAATATATATATATATATATATATATATATATTAAAATTAAAAGTTGTAAAAACTTGTAACGCAACCTAACGGCAAAAGTTTTAAACTAATTTAATAAAAAATTAATCAGCGCCATCTTTTAAAAATTTATATGAATTAATAAAGGTTAAAAGTTAAATGTGTAAGTTTTTAACGATTGTAGAAATTTAAAGGGCAAACCTTTTCAAAAAAAAAAAAAAAAAAAAAAAGGCGATAGATAAATTTTTACTTTGGAAAAATATAAATAATTTTTAAAACGGCCGATGAATTTCGTGGCAAATCACAAAAAATTTTTAATTTAAACTCTTTATAAGTTTTGACCGTGATGAAAGAATCAGAATAAAAGAAATTCAACGCAATGAAAAAACAACAAAAAGTTTTTTTTTTTTTTTTTTTGTTCTCTCTCTTAATAAATTTAATTAAATATGTAAAATTAATCAATCGCTCGTTAAAATAATTCATTAGGAATCGTTTTCAATAACCTTTCAATTAAAAATGATCATTCACAATGACTCCTTTTATAATTTTCATAATTAAATTATTTTTAACCTTTTTTTTTTTTATAATTTTTTTCCCTTTTTTTTAACTTCGATTGACAAACGCATTCACACACACATATTATTATTATTATTATCTCTCAATTTTAAATAATCGATACAAGCTCTATAACATTTAATAATTAAATAAATAAAAAAAATTCTTTTCATCTTCACGTGACCCCCTTTTTTTTTTTTTTAATTATTCAACGATTATAATATTATAATAATCCTTCACATCATAAATTTTTTTTTTTTTTTTCATTATTTAAAATTAATCATCTTTTCTTTTTTTTTTTTGCTATCAACAAAACCCTATTTTGAAAAAATAATAATAATAATAATAATAAAAGAAACTAACAACAAGAGAGAGAGAGAGAGAAAGAGAGAACTCGTCATTTTTATTTAAAAAAAAAAAAAAAAAAAAAAAAGGTTTTTAAAAATGTCAAAGAACAATACAAATGACACGGTTATATTTTAAAAAGGATTATAAACTTCATTATACTTTATAAGAATGAATCAAGGCCTCCCCTTTTTGCCTCCCCACATGCCCCCTTTCAAGAGGAAAAACGAAGGAAAAAATAAAACAAAAAAAAAAATTTTTTTTTTCTTCCGCCATTTTTTTTTATACGAATAATATAAAAAAATTAATTAAAAAATTAGAAAAAAAAATTAAATTTTTTTTTTTTGTTTATTACGTCGAACCGCCAAATTGGTTTTTATCGTCAAATACATTTACACACACAAATTTTTATTTGTTTATCTAATTGTTACGCACAATAACCGGTTTAAAGCAAAAATAAATTCCTTAGAGTAAATAAACAAACAATAACAAAAAAAAAAAAAATATGCGTCACGTTTTACTTGTTTTTTTTTTTTTGCAAATAATACAATTATTATTATTATTATTTGTTGTTGGGAATTTTTTTTTTGTTTTCAAACGTAGGAAAAGAGTAAATTAAAAAATCATTTTTCGAAAAATATTTCAAATAAAATTTAAATTTGTGAAAGAGAGAGAGAGAGAGAGAGAGAGAGAGAGAGAGAAAGAGAGAGAGAAGGGAAAAAATTATTTTAAAATAAACTCACCCGAATGCTTTTGTACTGACTAAAGGAGTTCTCAAATTCAAAAATCCATTTTTTTTCCCATTTGGCTCTTTTCCATCCGTATTTTGTTCGTCATCATCGGTGTTTTTTTCGTCGTACTTCCGTTTCCGTTTGTGACACCAGTAATATAAAAATATTGATATACCACAGAGAAGTATGAGTGCAAAAGTCGTGAAAACAATTGTTAAAATTATTTCACGACGTTCCATTTTTTTTTTTTTTTTTTTTTGTTTCCTATAACAAAAAAAAATAAAAAATAAAAATTTATTAAACGTAAAAAAAAAAAAAATTAACGATATAATTGATCGGGCGGAAATGTTTTATTTAAAAATAAATTTCCGTTAAAACGGAAACGGATTTGTACGTTAAACGAGCTTTAACATTCTCTTGTTTGTTTGTTTTTTTCCACTTCCGCCATTAAACATTTTTAATTTTTTTTTCGCTTTTCTTTTGCTTTTCTATAAAATATTTTATTCTATTTACGTAAGAGTATGTTTTTCCTTTTAAAAG